ATTCCAACATGCTGTCCATTTCTTTAGGATTGTTTGGTATTGATATTAGACCATCTCTCTCATGCTCAGGGAACTTAGAGACCTCTGGTGTCTGGGAATCTAGGTGCTGCAATCATAGTCATAACTGTTGGGAGGATATTAAAAAGCAGACGCTTTTTCCCAAACGGAATCAAAACACAGGCGGGCTGGGGTACAGTTGTTCCTCATTCACCTAACCTGCTAAGGGTTATCAAAGGCTTGGCCCCCAACCCCCCACCGCCGGACATTCCCCCCTAATTTCCATAGATTAAGCGTTCCGGCTTTTCATAAAATTTAACAGCATATTTGAAGTCCTTGGTTAGTTTGTCGTAAATTTGGGTTGCCCTCATCAGAATTTTAGCTCTCTAGTTATTAGATTTTTCATGCCAATACTTGCTTCCTGCCATCAGGTTTTTCCAGGTTCAATGAGCAGGAGCTTGTTTGGGTCGTGATGGGTCATTTTCGGCTCATGAGGCCGCTCCTCCCGGGATCCCTTTAATTTGCTAGAATGTGTTGAGAAGTTTGTGTATAATGCATGGGATTATGATATAAAGTAGTTTAATACTTTTGAAACTGCTTAAATGGAACGTCCAGTAGGTGGTTCACACACAGCGAGTGTCCCGTGGGACCTGCCGTCTGAGTTCTTGTATTCACTAAGCCTTCTGTGTATCTGAGAAGAGTAGAATTTTTATTCTCGAAGCACCATTGCGCTGAATCCTGACGCCTCACACAATGGAGAGAAGTGTGGTGTATGTAATATGTAATCCAAAATGGTTTGGGTAAGATAGTGCACAAATCATTTACATTTTGATGGGGAATAATTTCGATTCCTTCTACCAAATGATTGCTCCTTTTAATTTTAATTTTTTTTTTTTTGGCTTAAGTCAGCGTTAAAGCTATGAAACGTAAACTAATGGGCAAAATACTGAAAGAAATGAAAAGTTTGCTGTTGGCAATAATAATCATTCCTTGCATTTTATTAGCATTCATTATGTGTCAGGTACTGTGCTATGCACTTTGCCAATATCATCTCGCTTAATCCTTATGACGACTGCGATGCAGGTCCTATTATTTTCCTTGCTTTATAGATGAAAAAGCTGAGGCACAGAGAGGTTAGGTAAATTGCCCAGAGACACACAGAAAGAAAATAGTAGAAACAGGATTCAAACGTAGGCCGTCTGGTTTTTAAGCCTGCTCTCATAATTGCAGCTTCACACCTCAAGGAAAACCGTAGGTAAAGCGAACTAAGAGTCAGAAACGCCAGCTAAGTTGCTCCAGGTGCATAGTCGATAAAGACGGGCAACGTTGGCCCAGGTTCTAGTGACTCTTTCAGGCTGGGCTCCTTTCCTTGTAGGACCAGCCTCAAGAATAAACCATGTCCATTTAATGCAAGAAACCCCGCTGCTCAAGGTGTTTGCCCATTTCCTGAGGCTGGCCCTGCCAGGGGACTAAACGTTCCTGTTTGGCGACAGTGGATCCATACACAGGGGCGTGCCCCACTGCGCATTCGAATTGCCCTGAGGGTGGAGGGAGAAGGTGAAGCTTTTTCATTTAAATTCCGTAGTTTCTGTTCACATTTTAGATGAGATTATCCTCACCCATCATTGGTCTTTTCCAGCTGTTTCCCACATTGTTTTCTTTGCCCACACTCCACTCTCTCTAAATAATTAAAGACAAATGAACTTCTAGAAAATAAGTCTTGTATTTCACAAAGGGTCTTGAAATGACCCCGTCGAATGATTACAGAGTAAAAATGTCTCGACCTCAGGCAGCGTTGAGGCTGCTTATTGCCCGTGATGACGCAAAGGCTTTTTGAGTTGGTCTTTGGTGGTTGTGTGTTTCCTCTGCTTCCTTCCATGGCTGTGTCACTTTGGGCACGTGACTCCTCTAAATTGGAGCGTTCCTCATATGTAAAAGGGAATCTGATTAAATGAACTATGTCCAAAAGAATCGCTGGTCCTGGAATTGGCAGCAGGGGGAGGCTACTAGCTTTGTCCTTACCCTGGCCCCTAAGACTAGTCTCCCCTCCCCAGGCAAACTGGTATCTGATAGAATCAACGGGCAGCACAATAAATAATTGATCTGCAACATGTGCTTCCAATTCAAATAAAGAGCCTTTACTCCATTGCATGTGACTAAAGTATTTTATGTGGAAATCTGAAGGTTTCTGATAACTTTCTGTAAAGAAGTTTTCACAGAGTCTAAACCTCTTGGGCCTCATTCTGTCTCAAGTTCAAGTTACTTAGATAGTGATTAAGGAGGTTTTTACAGGCCCCTGTGGTAAATGATAGCATGGAGGAAAAAGCATGCTTTGACTATGTAATTTAGCAAGACTTAATCTGTTTGGGTTTTCATCCGCTGGGTTTGCTGAAAACTTTAAATGATTAATCTGTTTCTCCACAGGCTGCCGAGGCTCCCAGTGTCCATCTAGGCCCAGACTTTGGTGGCGACTCAGCTCAGGTTACCTTATTTATTTAGAAGACCCTTGATCTCAGTCCAGCCGCTTTTCCTTGGGGTGACAGATAGACAGACAGACAGACTCGAAATCCAGTATTCTTTTACCATGTGGCATTTATAAAACAGCATGAATCAATGAGCCCAAACAGCAAAAGGCGATAGTTAATTTATTTTTAAGTTTTTCCTGTTTGGTACTCAGCCACTAAGAGGCTATTGTACTTGAAAACATTTAGCCATGTTGATTCAGCCTCCAAACTCTGCACAAAAGCTCCCCGACCACAGGGAGGGACATTCCCGAGGAAAGGAACTCGGGGTGACATGATGAGGCAAGATGCGGCTTCCCCCCCCAACCCCCTGCCCCAGCCAAGTCTCATGACCCAACCACACAGCCGGAGAGGACCGCGTGGAGCAGCTTTCGGAAACTAAACACAGCAAAAGGAACTTGGGAATGCACTGGGACATAAGAAAAGCTGCAGAGCGATGCAGACCAACGATGGTTTCCTGGCAACACTGCGATTTTGTCACTTCAGGACAAGGCCCCTGGAGGAGTCCTTGCTTGCTCTCTGCCCACAGATCGATCTGAACTGAGGCTCTGTTACTAGCTTTCACTTTCACAGACCTCATATCCAGAACCTTTGCAGACAATTTGCCAAGTGCCTCCCTGCTGCTTAATCTGTGTGCCTCTGTTACCCCCACTGGCGTTCTGTGTGTGGGGCCCAGCACATGGGTCATACTGCTTCTTTAAAAGTGAAAGTGAGAGAGAGAGGCCACGCCAAATGTAGAAGTAAGGCAGGGCTTTCGTGCCTTACAGAGTGCCGAGGGTGTGTAGGGGTGGTTTCTAGAAGTCCACAGGCAAAACTTACCTTAAAAAAAAACACACAAGGGCTTACACACACACATGCTTTGCCAAACGCTCAGAGCAGAGAGTCAACATTTATGATGAGTAGAGCTAACAGAATGCTTTCAACTGAGCAGAATTTGGTGCCCGCCCTGCCATCCGCCCCAGAGAACTTACTTTGCACGTACCCCGGCCAACGCGAAAGTAATGAAATACTAACATTTAAAGTAAGGATCTAGGTTCCTTGGTATTTAGAGTCTGCTCAAACACACTGATGCAGCTCGGCCCCCCTGGGGGTCTGAAACCCAGTGCTAGTGGGGTTCTGCTTTTTCATTCGAGCCGTATGGTGCCGGCTTGCCTGAGTCTCGGTGGGGTTCAGGTCCCTAGCTCCAGTGGAAGTCCCATTAGACACGAATGTCGTTCCGTGGGAAGGAAGGAAGAAGGTAAAGGGCAGCTGGACTGCAGGCCTGGTTGATCTTCTTATCAAGGTCACTCAGCCAAGGTCACTCAGCCAAGGTCACTCAGCCATCAGTGTCTCAGAGGGATTTCCAGGCCAAAAGCCATTCTTTTGTGTTTGTTTTACAATAATAGTGGCATTTCCTTGACTTCCCGGAAAATCTATGGTTTCCACAGAGACCAGCTCCATCAGATGTCATGTACGAGCTGGACCTAACTCGTACATCACGTGTTTCTTACCGGCCTTTCGTTTCCTGTGTAATCGCCTTTGGAGATATTGCGCGCCGGGTCAGTTAGAAATCATATGTATTTCCACTCACGCAGAAGAAGTCTGGAGATAAGGCCATCGCGGGGTGCCCTTCTTCCTTCGTTTCCAATTTCCCTCGATTCTCATTCCCGTAAGAGGCCGCAGGAGCGTCAGCTCCCAGATCTGAGGTCTGGGTGAGCAGAGGGACGAATGCAGGGAGTCAAAGGGCACATGCCAGCGAAGTCCGCCCCAGAGAAAGAGCTTTCTCAAAGGTCACGTCCAGAGAGTTCTGATGACATCTCACGGGCCAGAGCTACGCCACTTAAGCAACCCCTCCCCACCAGCCGCAAGGGAGGCCAGAAAGCACAGTTGCAATTTAAAAGAAAAAAATTTTTTTTTAACCTGGGCACATCGTTGTCTCAACTGGGAATGTGTCAGTCAGGGAGACGTGAAAACTGTGATATTTGATGACACAGAAATTACAAATACCCACCCCTTCGTTTTGTCGCAGGGATTCAGTGTATCTGTGCAAAGCACCGATACACAAATCGAGTTTGATGAACTGGGGGACCGTGAAAATGGCAGTTCCTTCCCTCGCCCTGTCCACTCTTCCAGGGCCCGCTCGCAGGCTGTAGCACACAGTGGGCCAACGCCTTGATGTCACACGTGTTTTCCACCTGATTAAGTTCACCGAATAATTTTATCTTTAGGGAGAAATAGATGAAAAAATGTTTTACCTACGTCTCATCCATTTGAAACTAGAAATGCCCTTTTGCACAGAGCCTTCTCGCAATGCCGACAGAAGCATTTAATTGTTAATTTGGAAACAGCTCTTCTAAACCCGTAAGAATGGTTTATAATTCCGCCTCCGTTCTAATTCCGTGAGGCAGCAACCTCCTTTCTTGGTGCACTGCTCCTGACGCTGGCCACATCTGCAGTTTATGCTACCGGGAATAAAAACACATGCACACACTTTCTGCATTCTTTTACGATCTTTATTATTAAGTAACTGATTGGGGTGTCACAGTATGTTATAAATCTAAACAGAAAATTAGAGATAAATGTGACATGGGAACGCCGAGTCTACATGCTATTCTGGGTAAGAAGATTTGATAACAGAATGGATTTTTTGAATATCGATGCCTCTATTCCGATAGCCACAGAGCAAGATCACGGGCAGGCAGAGTCCAGGAAGCAAAGGAAAGAGAAAAGAAACTGAAGGGTGTGGGGTGGCATTCCGTCTGCTGTAGTGGCACTTTCCTACGTAGTAGATGGTAGTACTCTCATTTTGCTGAGTCATTGCTGCTACAAAGCTCCAATCTAGAGTGTACGTGTGATTTAAACATGGGCTTTGCGCTCCCGAAGCAAGACAAAAAAAAATGCATGATTTATATCTCTGATGCTAAAGTTTCAAGACCGTTTTGCAACTTGTGACCTGGACAAATCTCTTATCCATAAACAGGAAGAGAAGATTGGCGCGTGTGCATTTAAAAAATAATTTCGTTGCTCATAGGCAAAAGGAAGAAAAGGAGGGAGGGAGGGGGGGTGGAAGGGAAAAGGACAGAAGGGATGGAAGAAGGGAAAAGGAGAGAAAAGAATAAAAACACAAGAAACACTTTACATACCTACATGTTTTGGTCATCTGGGAGCATGTGACTCAGTTCAATTTACGTGTGTGCTTTAATTTAAATGGGGAAAGAGAGAGAGAGAGCGAGAGAGAGAGAGAGAGAGAGAGAGAGAGATTCCAGAACAAGCAAAACCTTTTTGTACGTAGACATATTTAACTAAAATAAACAAAAAATGGTGGCACATACTTATTGCCAACTCGGCAACAATGTTAAAAAACATACAGATAATTCCAAATGTAGCTAACAGCTCTTCAACTTATAAAGCTTAAAGTGACTCTTTCATCATAGGTGATTGAATTTGTACTTAATCATAATTAACATCTTGTAACATGGAAATAGAATATACGGATGTATCTCAGGTCCTCAGATTTAAGCAACTCTATAGCCCTCAGCTTCTCCATTTAGTTAATGCACATTAAAATCTCCTCAATTATATTTCACAAAACCTTCAATTTAAATGACTGTTCCAAGTTCGATGGAAGAGTTTCTTAAAATCTACAGTTCCAGTCGTTTATGTTTTGTAAAGAGACCAGGACGGGCAGCATACCTAACTGCTTCTGGACACAAATAAATACCTTTCCCGTCGCCACCTTCCCCTGTTCTCAATGGTTCATCTCTGGTGGAGCCGCCGGGGGTCAGTCTTTTGGGACACATGCCACGTTTCCATCCAGTCTGAGAATGTCGATGGCTACTATCCATGCCCTCACCCCATCTCCATGGTCCTTGGAGACGCTGAGAGATGGGCATAAAAAGCACCCCTCCCCCCCGTCAGAGAACCCCAAAGTTCAGGGCTGCTTTATTCCTGCTCTTCCAGATAAAGCTATTTGCTGGAGTCGACCAGGACATTTAAGAGGGAAATGCTGCCGTGAATAATAATATCAACTTTTCTTCTGCCTCATGGGTTAGAGACAAAATAGCTTCTAGTACTCACTGATCATTACCTGGGCAAGTGGCTGTGAAAGAACTGTCTGAATTGGTGGCACTGTCTATTTATCGCAACCGCTAACTGCCTGCTGACGCCAAGACACTATATGGGACAAACACGGTGAATCGAATAGGCCTGTTGTTGCCACAGTTAAATATCTCAACATGACACTCTACTGAACGCATGCCTCGCATGTCTTGGTTAGATGATACTATGGTTTTACGAGAAAGCGCTCATTATACCATCAATTTTGATACGTTAAAAATGTTATTCATGCTGGTTGCCTGTCTTGTTTTTACTTATTCCGGTATCCTAACTTTCTTCCCCATTTTTGAATATTACACCTCCAACTGCAGATACAAGTATATGGAATTGTAAGAGGAGATGAAATTTATATTAATCAATCGGGCTCTTAATAGCATCCCCATACAACATTTGCCAGCACACACGGAAAAAATTTAACCGACTGGATACGATGTCATTCTTAGATGATCTTTTATCAAGTTTAACCTGCTTTCCTTACTCCCCATCAGCATCGAACATAGCCATAACATTCTTTTGAAGCGCTGTTTACGACTACTCGCCTTAAGGTGACTGGCTAGAGAGGACAATGACTACAGGCTGGACTACATCTGGGATTCTAGGGAGATTCTATTCAGAGTCAGGACGGCTTTCTGGTAAGGCGCTTCCTTACACTCATCCGCGGAGGCGGCGGTCTCCTCCCGGCTTTCGCAGTTGCTGACAACGGCGACTGCGCTCAACGACCTTTTTCTGACCTTGGTGTCCGCCGTGCCGGGCGCTCGGGCCGGCGGGGCCTTGTCCCTGGTGTGGAGCTGCTGGTCCTTCCAATCCAGCTGTTTGGCGCTGCAGAAGGGGGCGTACACTTCCGCCGTCCCCTCGAACTCCAGGCAGTTCACTCTGTAGTACTTTCTCTTCACTTCCAAGACGTCGTTAAACCTGTGGCCCCAGAGGATTTCCCGGGGCACGTAGGAGCTTCTGGACTGGTGGGAAGTCCCCGTGGAATCGCCGGTATAGATAAAAGTCACCAGAATCTCGAAGTCATCTTTGGCCACGGCTTTGCGGTCGAGAGCATAGAGGGGGCTCTCGTGGTCGATCTCATGGACGATGGTGACGGGCGTGACCAGGATGATCTGGTCGTTGACCAGCTTTAGGTCCTTAAAGGCCATGGTCATGCGCCCCTCGCCGTCCTCCGTGTAGCGGAGCAGCTGCGCCCTGACGGTGCCCTCGACCACGTGGTTGGGGCGGAAGTCGCCGATGCGCCACGCCAGGCACAGCTTCCCGTCCCTCATGCCCACGAGCGCGAAGTAGCTGAAGCGGATGGTCTGCGCCCTCTTGCGGGCCGTGGCCATCTTGGCCACCGCGGCCCCGATGATGAAGGTGTTGATGACGCAGCTGGCGATGGACTGCAGCACCACGGCCAGCACGGCGGCGGCGCACTGCTCGGTGACGCAGCGGTGGCCGTAGCCGATGGTGGTCTGCGTCTCCAGCGAGAAGAGGAAGGCGGCGGTGAAGGAGCGCACGTGCTCCACGCAGGGCGG